GCAGCAACCCCAGGAGACTGCCTTCAATCCGGAGACGTGTTTTAAAGATCCAGCATTCCTCCAGTTACTTGCAGCTGAAAATCGTTCCACAGCACTACTACAGACTGTGTTTCCACGGGCCAGTGTGACTAACTTTAATACCGGTGGGAATGAGGAAGGAAATCAAATTATGAAACAAGCCCTGGAAAATGCAGGCATCCCAAGTACCTTCGATAGCACACAAGTACTTCCACGTGCAGTTACAACAAGTTGTGTCACTGGTACGACTCAGTTAACTGCAGCTGTTCTCCCCAACTCAACTGTGTCCCCTCTGCTTCAGACAGTGTGTAACCCCAGTACCCTGCTAACAGACCAAAACAGGACCCTCAATGCCAAAATCCCTCCAATAAACGAATGCAAGAGTTTGCCTGTTTTTGCAACTGAGGACTTAATGCTAAAGACTATTGAAAATGGCTTATGTCCTACCTCGTTTTCTAGTACTGTTGCAGCAGCGCACAACTTTCCAGGGAACGGTTCACGAGTTTCAGTTATAAGTAGTCCCAATAATTCAGGATCAAACAACTTGAACAAGAAGGGAACCAGTGCTTCCAAGAGGAAGAGAAAAACAACTACGCCCTTGCTTGACCCCAGTACACCACAGAAAGTAGCAGTAAATAATACAACAAATATGGGACTTGTAACCAAAAGCACTGAAGGAAACTTGCAAATACAGGGAAAAGATTTTCAGTCCAACTTGCTGGCAAGTCGTGACTCTCAAGCAGTGGTGGAGAATCTCACACAGAAACTCAGTAATGTTGACAATCAGTTACTCATGGCCAGTATCAAAGAGAACTTCAAGGCAGATCTTGAGACTCATACAGCGTTACCCCCCTTAACAGTAAAAACTGAAAACGGGGATTCCCAAATGATGGCTGTAAATTCCTGTGTGCAAGCAGATTTGGAGGAACAGATTTCAGAAGATAATGTTATGCAGAACTTTGAAAAAACCCTGGAAATAATTAAAACTGCTATGAATTCCCAGATACTTGAGGTGAAAGCTGAAATTCAGGATACTGTCACTGCTTTAGGACAGAACTCACAAGTAAATAACACACAGGGTTCTTTGGGAAATTCTGCACATGGTGTAAAATTGCTCACTCCCCCACAGTTTGCTGTGCACATGGGGAATGCCCCTGCTGCAAAGTGTAGCTCTGCTCCATCTGAGCCATCTCAAAAGGATGATATTCAAATGTTGGAAATTTTGGAGCGCTTGCAAAAACTGAAACTAGAAGATGATTCACCCGTTCAGGTCTCTGAGACTGTTGCCCAGTGTCCTCCAGCAGTTGTGTTAGCACCAGCAGTTCCTGTTGTACCAACAGAAAATAAACCGCTCATCCAAATGCCTTCAGAGGCCAGTAACATTCAGTTTAGTGATAAAGTTAATAAGCCTTTCGTGTGTCAGAATCCAGGCTGCAATTATAGTGCTATGACAAAAGACGCACTATTTAAACACTATGGCAAGGTTCATCAGTACACTGCAGAAATGATCCTAGAAATTAAGAAGCATCAGCTGAAGTTTGCCCCGTTCAAATGTGTTGTACCTACCTGTCCAAAAACATTCACAAGAAACTCAAATCTTCGAGCACACTGTCAGCTTGTGCATCATTTTACAACAGAGGAGATGGTAAAATTGAAAATTAAAAGGCCTTATGGCAGACGATCTCAAAATGAAACTGTAAACACAGCCCCACAACCTGTTGAAATAAAAACTTCACATACAGTAATAATAGAAAACAAACCTGCAGGTCCATTGGTCAGAGCAGTTCAGATAGATGAAGTTATAGAGCCTATCTTGGAGAAACTTCGGCCAGAAAATGTGTTTCGTGAAAGCCTGGAAAAGCCTCCCCAAGTAGTTTCTGTTCCGCTGGAGCAGCATGATGCAGCCTCTTTTGACAGTACAGAGGCAGAAGCCAAAGCACACAAGGTTAGGAAGGACAGGAAGGAAAAAGAGGAGAGAAAACGTAGGAAGTCTGTAACGAAATCTCTGGAGTTTCCCACTAGATACAGCCCTTACAGACCATACCGTTGTGTCCATCAGGGCTGCTTCGCAGCTTTTACGATACAACAAAACCTAATCCTTCATTACCAAGCTGTGCACAAATCAGACCTCCCTGCCGAAGTGGAGGAGGAGAATGAGCCAGGCAAAGAGCAACATGATGAGGTAGAAACCAAACCTGCTGTCAGAGAGTTCAGGTGTGAGGTGAGTGACTGCTCTCACATCTTCCAGGAAGTTACCAGCTTGATACAACATTATATGAAGCTCCATGACATGACCACAGAACAAATTGGAAACATGAAATCAGCTCCAGAGGTGGGAAGGTTTTCTTGTGATCAGTCTCAGTGTAAGTCTTCATTTACAGCTTATCTTAACTACATAGTACATCTTGAGGCAGATCATGGTGTTAAAATAAGACCAAACAAAATAGAAGATGACGGTGTCTTCAAGTGTGACTGTGAAGGCTGTGACCGTATTTATGCTACTAGGTCTAACCTCTTGAGGCATATTTTTAACAAACATAATGACAAGCATAAAGATCATCTAATACGACCCAGGAGACTGACACCAGGTCAGGAAAACATTTCAAGCAAAGCAAATCAGGAGAAACCATTGAAGTCCAAACAGAGAGGATTAAAAAACAGATCGGGAAAAGAAAGTAACAGGCTGTCAGTGAAAACAAAACAAAAGAAAAACTTGAACTTGGAAAACAAAAACTCAAAAGGAATTGAAGTTCAAGAAAATAAGGCTTATTTGCTGAAACGTGGCAAGCACATGTATTCGATAAAGGCCAGAAATGATGCCTTATCAGAATGTACAAGCAGGTTCCTAACTCAGTATCCATGTATGATAAAGGGATGTTCGTCCGTCGTTACCAGTGAAAGCAACATCATAAGGCATTATAAATGTCACAAGCTGTCCAAAGCATTTACTTCCCAACACAGAAACCTTCTTATTGTGTCTAAAAAGTTCTCTGTCACACAAGTAAAGGAAAGCTCTTGTGAGCAAGAGGAGGCTGAGAAAAAAAGTGATGTGAAAGAGCCCGAGCCAAGTTTGATAGTGAGCAATAATGATTCAAGCACATCTACATTACCACAAAAGGAAAGTGAAAAAGGTGAGAAGGATGAGGTGGATGAACTGACAGAACTATTTATTACTAAACTGATTAACGAGGATTGTTCAAGTGCTGAAAATCAAGCAAAAAACTCTTCCAGTGTAAATAGTGACTTGCAGGAGACCAACTCCTGCCCCTCAGAAAAGCAAAAATCAAACAACTTAAAAAGAGTAAGCAAAGAAAAAAATGTATTGCAGAGTAAGAGGAAGAAAGCCGAAAAGCCTGAGGAGGTACTGCCAGTTGATGGGAGCAGCGTACACAGGGAGGAAGAGACTGCTGTTGCCATTCAGACAGCCAAAGAGCAACCTGCAGCTTTTGACTGGAGCTCGTTTAAGCCAATGGGTTTTGAAGTGTCATTCCTCAAGTTCCTTGAAGAATCTGCTGTGAAGCAAAAGAAAAAGACTGAAAGAGACCACCATAGCAGCGGAACCAAAAAAGGATCCCATGCGAACGCACGAAAATCCAACGAGAAGACCTCTGTAGCAAGTAATAATGTCACTTGGTCATGTTCTGAAACTGAAATCCTTGTACCGTTTGACAACCCATCACGCCTTCCATGTTGTGATAATATAAAGATTGTTTTGGACAAGTCACTGAAAGACTGCAGTGAGCATGTGTTGAAACAACTCCAGAAAATGAAACCTGTCCTCGTTTTGAGAAAGTTCGAAGGACGTTGGGAGGATAATCCAGAGGTTAAAGCTGCAAAAGTAACTGTTGTGGGTACCAACCTAGGGGAGTCAAAATACTGAAAAGCTAGTGTGTTTATCCAGAAACTGTAATAGCATTTATTTTGAATAGGAAGCCATCAAGCATGCTAGTAACTGTGGAGCTCTTTTATTTTGAAGTGATTTAATCTAGCAAAAACATGACATAAGTCATGTAAATTTCTTATTTGTTTTTATCCCTATGGGACTTGAAGAACAGAGTAATTGCTTCAGTTTTGTAAATACTTGATCAAAACCTCAACTTTCTATCAGATTGTCCTTTCCATGAGCTAAATCTTTGTGAGTTGTCTGTGATTGGTATCTTTCACCAGGTCACCGCTCATGTCTAACAGTGCTCTTTATTTGTAGATACATCTTTTTTGTATATATTTATTATTGTAAATCATTTGCTGCCACCAGCAGTCTGTAAGTCTAAACTATTAAATGACACATTTATATTCGGAATTTTAATTTGTAACTAAGTGAACAAGTTTTTAAACCTGTCCTTTAGTCATTTTAAATTAAGAACTTTTGAACTAAAACTAACTAAGTCTGCCATATCCAGTTTCTTTTGTGTAAAGCACTTATTTACTCAAGAGGAGCTGGATAAGATCACATTTCATAGGTTAAATGTACTGACACACTTTCATTTTTTTTAAAGTTTAACATCCAGTATCTATGGATGATACTCGTATGTAGTTAACTCATAAATATAATGAGCTTTCTTATAGCTACATTTTTCATTGCTTTTAATTGGATACAAAGCATTTATGATTCCATAATAACAAAGGAAATGTGAATAAAAATAGTTTGCTACATTGGAGATTTAAAACAATATTTGGTATTAAAGAATCTGTTGTGAATGTGATAGAAAATTAGTAGTGTGGAGCAGTGCATATATTTGAGGTGGTGATTTGTGAAGTAGCCCAGTATTGCCTTAAATAAAATCACATTTCATTTCTTGTTTTATACATGTGATCTTATAAAGGTTATTTTTGTTTCTGTAACTTAGATTGGTGTATAGTTTAATTTTTGTTAAAAAAAAACAACAAACAAAACAAAAAAAACTTCAGAAACCGGTTTTGTAAATAGTGGGTTTATAAAACAGATGGTTTATTTTGATAATACCAGTTTGGTATCTATCTATCTATAAAATACGTGAGTCCTTTTGCCATACCATAAAAACTGAATAAACAAGGCACTTTCTGAAAGGGAAGTGAGATTGTGATCTTGCAGATAAACTCGGTGGTTGTGCTGTATTGATGGCAAAGGCTCTCTGTGCTCTTCTGCCTCTTGCTGACTGTACTGGGCAGTGCTCCGGCCTCCTTGCTCTTTCCCACCCTGGAACGCACCTCGGAAGCGCTGCTTGTGGTGCCCAGGATTCAAGCGATTTCTCTGAATGCTGCTAACTGAAATGAGAGGTATCCAGTTTGTTGAGTAACCAAAAGCACGAGTGTGTTGCTGGGAGGAGCTGTCAGTGGCCAGGAATCTACCGTGTTGGTTTTCATGCGTGGTTGTGCTGAGATGGGGTGGCACAAGCCAGCTGGATTGTGTAGTACCAAACATTTTTCCTGGATTATTCTCACGATGGGATGTGACCTACCTTCAGTGACATAAACAGTCTTTATCTTTGGAGAGATTAGGTTGATTTGGTTTTTTTTTCTATAAACTTGTCTTGGCCATCTAAAGCTTTGCATTAAATGCTACACTTGATTGCTCTTCACCTATTCACCTGGAATCTTTGACAGTTTACTTGGATGTGAACGCAGAGGACGCATTCCTAGGACCAAGTGTGTGAGAGTGAGGATTGTGCATGAAAAAGCAGAAAGGCAACAGCATTTCAACGTAGGTGTAGCCCTTGGTTTGCTGTCTGGTGCTAAACTGCATAGTGTCTCAGAAAGCCTGTGCTTCCATTTGAACAGAGCCTGTTCCCTCCTCCTGCTTTCCATCCTTTCTGAGTGACTAAACTGATAATTCTGCCAAGTTAGTAAATCAAAGGTGCAGTCTGAGAATAATAAAACCAAAACAAATCCTGGCATTTTAGCTCTGGAAGAGATCATTGTAGTTGCTGTGAGGGCAAGTCTTGTTCTCAGATGTGCCTAACTCACTGTCAACAGACCTCACAACTGTTCATTTTTAGAAGAATTTTGTGTTGTGGAAGTTAAATAGTTTCAACAGTGACATTCCCAGTGGTAGCTACTGTATCAATTTCAGTTTTTAGCCTGAGAATAGCATACCAGTATTTAGTTACACGGTGCTATACTAGAATGCTATTTTTAAACAAAGGGAAAAAACCCAACAGTATCATAAATATCCAGGAATTAATTTCTGGTTCAGATCTGAATGTAGTCTCTGAACTGCTGAGACTGAAACTTTTAATATTAAACCTTGTTCTTACCCCAGTTAATTCAACTGATTGGGTGCTGTACCAATAGTCAGTGTCCTCCATGGCACACTCCCTTTTAGGTGGATACTGACAGCCTACCCACCAGCTGAGCTAGTACAGTATTTGTTTTCCTTTTTTTGTTAAAAAAAAGAAGTATTTTTAATGGAAAGCAGGGAACCAAAGGCAGGATCTGATTTAAAATGTCATGGACTGCAGAGGGCACTGTGGTTTGGGAAAGCCACCTACAAAAGTTTGTGAGGAAATAAATGTGTTTGCATTTAGAAACTTTACCTTGAGTGATGCATAAAGCCTCCAGCTGTAGGTGTGGCAGCATGTCTGAAGGGACAGCCCTGCCCCTGGGGCTGCAGGGCAGGATGGGTGGCCAAGCCCAATTCCACCACCGCCACCTCAGTCCTTGGCTGCTGCAACATGGTGGGTGCTGCCGGGCCCTGCCCCACTGCCTGGTCCCTCTCTTGTCTTCTGCCTATCTCTTTCTCTTTCCTCCTCTGTGTCTCTGTCTTCCAGGCATGTCACCTATGAATTGTGCATTTGAGCAAAGACACTTTCTTCAAAACCTCTTGGCACCATCAGGAATGTGCTCACTAAACCAGTGGTTTTTGCTGATGGGGAAGCAACCACAGCAAGACGTCTTGAGTACAGACTGTTTTGTGACTGAAAGAAATCTTTAAACTGGCAGTTAACCTCTCTTTTGGTTAACTGTGTGTCTAAAGAAATCTTGTCTGAGTCCTGATTCAGTGTCAGTAGGAGCAGTGGGTTTGTCCTCACGTGTTTTGGAGCGGTTATTCTCTGGTTGTCCTAGTGTTCTGGCATGTCCTGTCTGCTGCTGTTGGATAGCCAGAGAGTGATGCTTTTACAGCTCACACTGAAAATGGACGTTGGCTTAGGTGAGGGGAAGCAGTTGGCTGTATTCTTGCAATTAGTTTCTGTGCCAAAGAATTAGTGTGGCCGGGGCTCCCAGCTGCACAGGCAGGCTACCCTGAGGCTTAGGCCACCAGGGCTAGAGGAGCTCCCTGAAGCAGGAGTTGGGGCAGCAGCTCCTGCTTCTGCCCTGCTTCTTTCTGTGACGTTTTTTACAAACCTCATCTGTCACAAGGCAAGGACATTACTTGGGTTTCAGAGAAAATGAGGATCTATCTAAGGGTTGGATCTATTAATGTTTGCAGAGATGTTTTGAAATATGAATGAGGTAAATATTTTTGTATAAAAGTGCACAGAGTGGTCATGGGTTTTTTCCACTACAGTATGGGCTCAGGCCAGCTTCCTACTAATTGCAATGCGATTGAGGAGACTGTACTTTTACACTTTAAAAAAGAAAAAGAAGCAACAAACATAGCACTTGAATTTTTTCATTATCATTTTGTCTGTCTGTGTGAATTGGAAGTTGAATATACAAAAAAAAAAGCCCTTAAACCTTTTGTTGAAGAACCTGACCTGTTTAGGGACTGAGCTTACCAACTCATTTGAACCAAAAATGTAAGAGCAAATTACTTCAGGGGTAGATGGATGAGTGAAATTTAAACTGAAGCACAAAGGAGTATAAGGTGGGAAAAGAGCTGTGGAAGGGGAGAAGCCAGTAAAAGACCAAATGCTGACCAAGAGCAGGGGAACAGAAAGCAAGTTTGTTCTCTCAGGTTAAGTAAAATCTGACAGAGCTGCCTTGTGTGATGCTCATTTCCCTTTCAATTTGTGACTCTGTGCAACACTTATCTTGCAGACAACGGTGTAAAAGCCTCCTGGCTGTTTGCCGTGAATGAGTTGGGGGTTACACAGAGTTGGTCCATAATAATTTTTCAGAATAATTCTTACATAAGGTACTGGATTTGTCAAAACCGAATTAGCCTCTGACAGTTGAAACCTGTTCATTTTGAAATGTATTTATTATTCTATGGCTGTTGAATATGGGTATTTGAAATGAAACCTAGAGTATACATTCCAAAGAAGTAAAGTTCTTGTTTCACTGGAAATTTTTTGGTTTAAGTGGGAAGCTCTGACCAGCCACACAGCTTTAGGGGATGTTTTAAAAACCTTTGATCCCCAACTTAACATAATTTTTCTATTAGAGACCAGCTAATGCACAAATTTCATCAGAAACCTGTGTTGGATAAACTGTGTTTGCTTCTCCTTGTTTTCTCTCAAATAAACCTTGCTTTTAAAAGAAATGAATAAACACTTTTTCATTAATGTGCTGTCTTAAAATCTGTCTTTAATTTTGGAAGCGTTTTTTTTAAATTTTGATAATGTTGCCATTGCCTCAAGAAATTATGTGTACAAAAGGTAATTAAGGGGTGGGGCTTTTCTAAGTTACTCAAAATATGGCAGTCCCAGCTACACAGGGCTGATGGGCAACGGTTTTGCTTCAAGCACTGCTTGGTGGGTTTTCTCCAGTAGCTGCAAAAGAGTTTCTAACTGCATTTCTGTCCTGAGCCACATCCTGTGTCTGTAGAGATTGAACAGAAATGTTCTGAATTGGGTGGAGCCTGTTACCTCATATACACACTGGCTCAGCATCACTCGAGGTGTAAAACTGTCACTGGCCACAAGTTGGGATCTGAGAGGCTGCTGTTGCTGCGAAGTTCAACGGCAGCAAATGTATTTTCACCTTTTATAAAAGCAGGTTTATTTTAGGAAAAAAAAAAAAAAAAAAAGGCTTGAAAATCACAGTCAAAAGCACGTAATTTATTAATTAGTTCTTACAGTTAATTCTGTAACTGCTGTCCCAGTACTTACAGAAGTAAGGCTTTGTACCCAAAGCTGGATTTTTTTGGAGCGAGAAAAAACCTAACATGCTTTTGCTACTGTTTTCTCCTCATTATCTTGGCACAGATAATAAAATTGGTTCAACATTCAGGCAGCAATAACAGTTAACAGGCTTTTGCTGTTGTTTCCGCTTATGTCCCAGCATGAACAATAAAACCAGTTCAGCATTCAGGCAGCTCCTTTTATTGCAGGTGGGGCTTTCTCTGAAGGGTGTGTTTTGATCAAGCTCAGTCCTGATGTATGTCTGAAGGTCTTTCATCCCAGCCTTGGAAAGAGAACACTGTCCTGAAGGAAGTCTTTTTGGGCACTAATTTCTGTCATTTCAAAAGTCCAGGTTCAAGAGAAAGCACATTTTACCTGATTTCTGTCCCTGTCCTGTTAGCCCAAGTGACACGTAATAAAGAGCAGAGGTGTTTTAAGAATGACCCTGACATGTGGGGGATAGGAATAATTATTTTTTTGCTTTGCTTCTACTGGAGTCTTTTTGTATCTCTAGATTTCACCTGTTTTTCTATGGCTGGGAAATCTGGAGGAGTAACACTATTTTCAGCCTTAGTAAAGGAACCTGATTTCAGGCTGCTGTATACTAGCACTACTGGCTGCTGTTCTGCCATGTTGTATGGTCTTCATTTCCCTGCTCATAGCCTAAGGAGTTGGGAATGTTCTTTTCCCTTAATGCCACAGAGCAGAAGGTAAGTCTAATGACTCAGGAGCTGCTTGGTGGAGGTGACCAGAAGTTGTCTGTATTCTCATATCTGCTGCCTGTGCCAGTTTGAGCAAGCACCTTCTCTTAACAGGATGCATTCTGATGGTAAACACCCTAAAACCAGGTCAATTCAAGACGCCAGCAGCCACTGCATGCCCATGCTTTCTGATGGCTATTTCAACAGGTAGCAGATCCACTCACCTGACAAATGCTGTACCACCACCCCTTGCTGTTTGGCGTCTTAATTGATCCCAGGTTCTTCCAACTTTCCATACAAAAGCCTCTTTTTGCTTCTACCAAAGCAAGTGTATGTAATACTCAAAACACAACTGGTTGAGCAATTGTTTCAGCATGATTTTTCATAAGCATCTGTGGTTTTATATTGAAACTTCATGGAATTTTCAGATTCTATGCCTCTTGTTTCAACATGAAGAGATCTGAATGATTCTATGTATGACCTATATAAGTTGACTGAATTTATCCACTCAAGTAAGGGGGAACTAATGGAGAAAAAGTATTCCCGACACAACTATCATTTCAGTTCTGTAACACACTGATTGGAAAAGTAATTTGTCAAATACAGCTTGTGAAATGGGAAAGTGGCCTCCAGCTGTCTTTCAAGTCAACAGGGAACTTTTCTCACGTTTGCCTTGTGTGTTGAGAGGCAAGGAAGGGGAGCTGCTGTGACCAGTGATTCCTGATTTCTGGCAATCACTTTTTGAACCTTCATGTTTCTGGGTGTACCTCTTCAGATAACATTTTATGGAGTATTTGAAAATGAGGTAACTCAGTTCACTTAGATTTAGTACAATGCACAAGCATGAAGTCGCCACCAAAAAATAGAGGAAAATCATCTTCTCGGTGGGTTTGGAAATATAGCAGTCTACAGTATTGGGACATGGTCTTATGTCACATTTCACAAGATGTGGCACTTTGAATCCATTGTACAATTTATAAAAAAGAACAAGAAAAACTACTTCAAATCCTGTTTTTAAAATAAGGCTGATAAGGTAAGTACACAGCAACCCACCATCTATCTGCCCTGGGCTTTTATAAAGTTTCTGGTTGTGGCGTTTCTCTCTATTCTCTCGGTAAGCAACATGAAAAACAACCAGGAGTGAAGGGGTGGAGACCATGATTAACTGCAAAGCCCAAAGTCTGATGTGGGAGATAGGGAAAAAATGGTCAAAGCAAACATTTTCACAACCAGGCTGCCTGATATTGCATTCAAATTCATCGTGCTCGTACTTCCAGATGTTTTCTGCTGCCACAATGTAAACCAGTAAGCGGAATAAGAACACAACTGCTACCCAAATTCTTCCAACTCCTGTTGAGTATTTATTCACTCCACTCAGCAGATCACGTAGAAATGCCCAGCTCATTTTTCTCCACAAGGAAGGAACTGCTGTATCAAAGAAACAAGATCAGAGAGATGCTTTTTCTTGGGTGAAGAGAAATAAGCTCGTTCGAGGTGAAATATAATGAGTAGCTGAAGCAAATTAAAATCATTGAACATTGAAAAAGGAAAATGGCAACAAACTACTCTTAGTTCTGATAACTTGTACCTTATGAGGCTACTAGACAAAATTTACTTGCTGTTAAAGTTGGTTTTGTCAAACAGGCTGAAACCTAATTGCCCTGCTAAACTGACCTCTGCAAATAAATGTTCCTGTTTTTCCCAAGGATCTCCTGAGCAACAGGTAGACCTTTCATCCCACAAGGTCGGGCTACCACTCTACCACTGAGGTGCACTCAACTTAGCACTGTCAGTTATGCAAATACTAAGTATAGTCAAATCAAATTTCACTTGCAAATTTATATAAAGGAGCAGTGTGTCCCGTAATAAGTTGACTACAAAAATGCAAGTTGTTTTCTTTTTGTCTGCTGTCTTAACTTCTCAGTGAACTTGTATAATATTTCAAATCCTGTCCTCCACTGGATGTTGTTTGTTGTGTTACTTACTGTTTAAGAAATGCACTAAACTTTACAACAAAGATGTTTTTATTACACAGTTTATTTTCTGTACAAGTCTTCCCCTGTCCTATCTCTGAAACACTTCTTTTGGAAGAGCTGTCTAAGGAGATATTGGAACCAGACTCTTCTCAAAGTCAAAAGAAGACCTGAGATCACCACCAAGAGCATCCAGTCACCTTCCCACCTGGCCCCACTGCTGAGTGCTGCATGGATCTTTGAGAATCTCAAGCTCTTTTGTAAGAGCAAAAAGTAAATGTATTCCCAGAAGACAGAATGTCCAGGAGACGTGAGGAGGGAAATCTGAGAAGTTTCCAAACCTGTGTGTTCTGTCTTTTAACGTCCTCGTGCCACCTACTGCTCCTTCAAGCTTTGCCTAGCAGGAGAGAAAATGCAGTCCTCTGTGGCTGCAGTGGCACATGCAAATCCTGCTGCCACTGCCATAGCTGTAGTCAGCACTTATGTTCATCCAACAAATTTATCGATGGCAAGTTTGAGTACATGAAGTAATCAGGCCACAGCTCCACAAAGGTCAGCACAGGCAGAAAGCTCTGCACTTGTTTTGCTGTCCCTTGATTCTGCAGCCCATCGTGACCTCTGCCTTTGGCCAGGTTTCTGCTGGAGAACAAGGTTATTTGCCTGTTTGTGTATTCCTGCATTGCTACCATTAGAGCTGGTGACTTACCTGAGGAGTTGAGCAACAGCTGTGGAAATTAATACATTGCTGGTTTATACTGAGAAGGATGTTGAGAAGAGATGTTCTCAGGAAGAGTCGTTACCAAGGTACTCCTTTATCCTGCAGGCAAAAAAGAAAAACAGAGGAATATCAGTTGACTTATATCCTAAACATCCACATGCTTTTAGATATGTTTGGCAGGGCGCTGACTTTGTAATTGGAGAGCTATTTCTGTCCTTCAAATCTGAAATTAGAGCTCAAGGAGAAGTTTGAATCAAGCTCTTCAAGACACGAGCACTAGGGCTTTAATGCTTTCTAGATAAATAATACAAAGTCAATGCATCGGTCTCAAAGGAGCTGAATAGCAAAGCATGAAGATGCTACTATAATAAAGCACAGGCAAGGAAATAAAACATTCCTGTGAGTGTGAATATTACCATGTATGAGCACATGTTGTGGATGAGCTGTCCTCTGGAGGAGATTTGAAGGAAAACATCAAAAGGCCTTTCCTAGGATTTTAAGATGTGGACAAACACTATAGAAGGGAAGATTGAAATTTGCTATTCCATGAAAAAGGAGTATGGCTGTGAGTGGGCTTTTGCTAATGGCCATAAGAACTGCACCATCCCTTTCTAATGTAAAAAGCCTGATGTCAGCTACCGTGACTGGAGTTACACCAGTCCTGAGCCTCCAGCTGAACAAGTCAAGACAGAAATTAAACATATGCTGGTTCTCCAGCAAGGCAAAAAATCAGTGGGAACCAACACTGGTAGAAATCAAGCCATGGAGATACCCATATACAAATTGAGAAATTTACCTGGAGGTTTCTTTTTCCAGAGGTGAGCTGCTAGTTTCTTAAATGAGCAGCAAGAGGGATTAGAAAAGAACAACTTTATACCTTATTTTGCCAATCTATGAGAAGGATGTTAAGGGGAAAAGGAAGTCCCATCCCAGGAAAATGGGCATCAAGGATTTTACAAAACAGCACATCCTGAGCTACGGGCAAATTCTATCCAGCCAGAAGGTCAGGTGGAAGAAATCCCCACAAAGCTATTTTGGAAGACAGCAACACGCTCTAGTGCCTAGAAGTCTGGCAGTGAGGCAGCAGGGATTGCACAGAACTACAGATGGCTCCTGGTGTATGTGCTCTGTTGGTGAGAAACTGACATTGAAGATCTGCAGGGAAGGTCTTGTGGCCAGTGGTGCTTCTCCAGAGTTTTTGTTATATTTTTTCCACTTGCAGCCTTCACTTGATGTTGAGGAGCTATTGTATAGGACAAGCTTCAGCCACAAAGGGTCAACAGAGCCTGTTCTGTGGTATTGTTTGGGTGGTAACTGGCACAGTTCCTCTGCTCAGAGGAGCTGCAAATGTGCCTTTAGAAGGCTGTACTTGCTCTAAGCACAACTGTTGCTGTGGGAGATTGTGGGTGTTAACCGATCCTTTTATATCCTTAGAAAATACAGTGAATTCACTGAAGCATTGCAAAGAACATATGGAACAGAAAAAATAAAATGGACTTCAAAGATAAAGAATTACTCAACAGGTGAACAAGAGAAAATTGATTTCATGGGACAGCCCAGGCACAGACTGATGAGAGGTTAAGTTAGGTTAGAGAAGCCAAAGACATGATATGGGCTGTATGAAATTCAGAGCAAGGTGAGGACTGAGACAACAACAGAAAGATAAATCTTGAATTAAGCACAATTGAGCAGTAGGAAAAAGGTGACAGTGGTATCGAGTTTTTTTTACACTTCTAGAAGCAGCAGTATATGTGGAAGCAGATGCCAAGAGTAGTGTCAGGCACAACACTTTAGCAAAATTATATTGTGACTAATGTAAAGACAAGAGAGGAAAAAGTGTGATCCAAATCCTTGCAGCCAAAAAGATTCCAACCTTAGCATTCAGAGGAGGCTCATTTTGTGCAGAATGATACAAAGGGAGTCAAGAAGGGAAGGTGGCTGAAGAATTAGGTAGTTTGTAGAAAATGTAGCTGACGTCAATTTGTATGAATGTCATGTCCAGTGTTGAGGCTGGCAATCAGATTACTGACAGGCTTAAAAAAGCAACAAAAGGGTCAGAGGGCAATCTGTTTGGCACTGTGGAAATAAAAACCACAAAAAATCTTAGAATCTATTGGAAATTACAAAGGAGGCACTAGAGAGTCTTAAACAGGAAAGGAAAGGGAAGGTTATTTGCTCCAAGTGCTCAAGAAAAAGTTGAATGGAGCAAGAAGTGAAGAGCAGGGATTTCAGGTTAGATTTACTTCAACCCTCTGCTCCATACCCATACATACATGCACACCCTAACTTGGACAAAAGCTGAAGATTAGAGTTATGCTGATTTGTTGTACTCATTGCTGAAGTACTAGGGATGAACATAAAAACAAGTGCCTGGGATGCTTCTACTACCAGCCAAGATATGGAGCAGGTAATCTCTCTTCCTCAATACGCAATTTATTCCCTAGATGTGGCTTAAGCACCCATTCCCAACAACACACACACTTTGTCCTGCTTCCTAGAGACATAAATGGCCAGAAGAGCTTCCACACACCTGTCACGTTATCAGTGACTTCATTTTACCTCTTAAGGCTGCATATGTGCTCTGCTGAGCAAACAGAGTAACCTGGATGCACCATTAACTTCTGAGTGTGCTGAATGTAATTTATTGAGCTAAGGGTTTGAATAATGCCATTGTTGTTGAATACATTCATCAAATAATAATTTCTGTCGTTCAGTGAGGCCTACAGAAGGTTGGCTAATGTGCATTGAGTAATGCATCCATTGAAAACCATAGTGCTCAGAGAACTGGTTCACCTAGATTTCAATCAGCTCTGCTAATTTAATTACTTTAAAAGCAAAAAAGGTACCTTTTTGTAGAGGCATATGGGGAAAAAAAAGTAAGGAAATGGAAGAACAAAGTGACTAAATAGAGAGAAAGTGGAGAAAGCATCCAAAGTGTTAAGGCACAGAGGGCAGGCAGCTCGGAGAGCAGGCAAGTTGCAGGAAGAAGGTGCATTATTGTGGGAAAAAGATGGAATGGTGAGAAAGAATAGAAAGAACACAAGCCTGGGAACACGGGGTCTCAGAATTCAGTACAAGCAAGCTGAATTATCCTCACAGGCTGAGAGATGGCAAAACACTCTTTTTTTTGTTTAAATAAGGGGATTTTTTTGCTCCCCCTGCCACTTATTTATTTATTTACTTACTTTGACAGGAAGAAAGAGAACCATAAATAGCAGCAAAAATATAAAGCAGAGAGCAGAAGCAGAAAATCATGGGAGGATATAGGATAATAAAAAAGCAGAGCTGATAACAACCTTGAGTTCATCCTCTCATCTTCTTTTTTACAATTTAATCAAAAAAACATTGCAGCACATTTTTTTTAAACACTGAGCTTCATCTCCGTGTGATGAGATAAAGAAAAAAAAAGCATTGGCACAGTGGTTTCCTTTACTAACCAAATGAATAAGGAATCTTAACTTCAGGCATTCATTTAGTAACAGTTTTCCCTTTATTTTTTTCACTGACACAAGGAAGTGTGCATCTGTTTTGGGGCTGCTGAGTCTCAGTGCTTGTTTCATGGGCTTCCCACTCCTCCTTTACAGACTACCAGAGCTTTAAGGTCTACAAACTGAGAAACACTGACTTTCTTCATTCTCTGGCCTGAAGAAGTGCATATAGTGTTCCTGACAGTTCAGACTGCTTTCAAACTGTTGCATATCTGCAACAGAAGCT